ATGGAAGCATAAGAAATACACTAATTTTGTTGATTACACTAAAATACACACACATGTATGTACACACACATACACACACACACACATTTGTTTGTTCATTTATTTAATGTAATTAATTTGGAAGTATCAGGCATTTACATRTTAGAATATTCAAAAGGACAAAAGATTTATGGTGAAGATGTCTCTTTATCCCSCTGTATCTACCTACTCATTTCTTTCCCTGCAAGCATCCAGTTTTATGAGTTCCATGAACGACTTTCAAGGGCGATTCCATTCCTATAAAAGTGAACATATATATTCTTTTATACATATTATTTTGAATGTCTATATAATACTCAACAATTCTTAATATTTAATATATATCATTTAAAGCCTTTTTACACAAATGTATCCTAGTGCTTTGTGTTTTGAATTCCTGTACTTTGACCATAGGTGGTTACAGTCAGTGGCTCCTCAATCCCCTTCTCTGCCTAGGCCTTTGGACCTCCTTGCTGCTCTGCTCTGTGGACATGCTAAGGACACCCACACAGGGCTTTGCATTGCTGTTTCCTTCACCTGGAGCTCTTTTACTGTGGTATCTATCTTCATGGCTCATTCCTTCATCTTAGTTATCTTTCCTCCAATGATTCCTCAGGGAGGCCTTCACCGAGCCCCTAATTTTGCACTTACCCACAATGCTCTCTTCTTTCTCTTGTGCTGTATTTTTCTCTGTAACATTTTTCACCACCGAACTTCATATTTTAATATGTGCTATTTTTTTTCTTTTTCTTTTCCTTTTTTTCTTATCTGGCTGCATCTCTTCTCTCTCTCTCCACAAAATAAAAGGGCAGAATAGTTCATGGCTGGATCCCCAGTGTTTAGATCCAGAACCTTGAACATTACAACTGTTCAATAAATCCAAGGAATGAATTTGAAAGAGAAAATTACAAGTTAATTGAGGAAGATGTAAAGTCTAATAACAAGATTCATAAATGGAGAATGACTGCCTTAATATATTTGAATTCTTTGTGTCAATACTCTGAGATATTATTCTTGTTCTCTTCTCCTTACTCACTGAGATTGAACTTCTGGATTTGATATGAAATGGAAATACAAGAAGTCGCCTGCTTTATGTGATGAGACTGTAAATAGCACTGAGTAAAATAATAAGATTATAAACAAAAATTAAATCAAACATCCCTATCACCTGATAGTCAATAACTTCAGCTGCTGAAATTTTTGATTCCTGCTCTTTCTTAGACCTAGGACTTGAGATGCATGTAAAAGACAACTAACATGCCCATTGTTTTTGGATTTATAAGAAGACAATTAGGTGACACAGATACAGCTTCATATCGCTTGAAATTGTCTGATTAGCTGTGACAGCTTCAGTGAGAGAGACAGAAAGGACTCTGGAATTCCTAAACAGCTATTCAGTCAGGTGTATTCCCATCAGAGCAACGATCTGCTCATGACACTCATTTGCACTGCCACTTCTGCTCTGCTGATTGTCAGGGTCCCATCCTCACTGTCTGAGGTTTAGTCTGATAAGAGACATCCAAGAACGAACTGTACACCCACAGAGATCTGGTATTATCAAAAGGTGGTATGTAAGTGTGTTGCCAATATTAGTTCCTTAATAAAAACGGTTTGCTAAAAAAAAAAAAAAAATCCTTACCATTCTAGAGTCAAACCACATTCTTCATCTGCCAAGTGACAATTGATGTACTCCTCTCTCGATAAACTTTGAAAGCTTTTTCACCATCATTGTTATTCTTATATTCCAGTATTGTCATAGTTAGAGTAGATTCTGGTTAATGCTAGTCGTATGTTTGTGACACAGTCATTTTCGACATACTGTTTTCCTGCAGACAGCACTGGAAGGCAGATTGCCATAAAATGAAATCAGACTAGCTGTGCGGTGTTGTCACTGTTGATTCTGATTTCATGAGAAATTGTTAAATGAGCAGGGAAAGGTGATGGAAACTGATGAATGGTGTGCTGGGGCTCAGCCAGGTGGGCAGGAGAGAGAGTGCAAAGGAGCAAAAGTGAACATTACTAATTTCTGATCAAATGTCTACATTAGGGAAGAGTGGTGCGGCGTATGATTTGATGGTTTGTAATGTGGATGAGGTCAGACTGTCAACAAGTAAGCAAGTCTTTCCTCAGAAAATGGCTTTTTAAAAAAATGTTATTTTGGTCTCTTTGTTTCTTTTAGGAGATCTCCATCTTTTAGTGCTGAAATGTCTACCTTATTAAAAAACAATGCTTTTTGGATAGAAATAAGGTTCTTTGCAAACTTTAAATGTTTTTTTTAAAGACACTTATTAAAAATTTTCTCTTATGCTTAGAAAATTATGTTTTCATGGATTTGTCTTTAATATATATAATCTAAATTCCTAATCAATTATGTGATAAATTCATAAGTACAATATAATTTGAAATTTCAATGTATATCTAAAATCTGGTTTCCAAAGTTTTAATTGTCCACATTCACTGTCATGGTTAGAAAAGGCAAGATATTTTTTCTTCAATTGATTTGGATATGCAAAGTGATATGAACCTAAATAAGAGGTCAGACAAATAAAACTTAGATAGAATAGTAATACTAGCCAAATTTTATGGCTGATTGACAGACGTGCCATACATTATGTTCAGTGATTTATAGGTCTTAGTTTATTTAAACTTCAAAATAATGTTTTGAACTGGTTGCCATGATTATCACTGGCTTACAGATGAGGACACTGAGACCTTGTGCTTGACCTTAATCTCAAGGTTGACCAGTAGTTGGTGAGACCACTAACTGTCAGACCTAGACATCCTGGAAGAACATCCCTGTACTCTTACCTACTGAACRTATTGCACAGACCAAGTCAAACCGGAACACAATTAGCTATTGGGAATGATAATTAAGGTGTTAGGACACTTTTTTTTTTTTTTTTTGGAAAGATCCGGGTTGTCCATCCTAGAAATTATACCATAGTARTGGCAATTAAGTATTTCATGTACTTTTGATTTTTCTGAGAGATAATGTGTAGCAACAATATAATTTTAAATAATTTAAGAAATTGTCTCATCAGAGTTGTAATTTCAGAAAAAAAAGGTCCAGTAGAGATCATACACTGATGATCATTTCTTTTTTTTGGCATAAACATTGATAAATGGTGACCCCATTTTTCAATCTCTCCTCTCTTTTCTACCTCTGGAACTAGTGGGTTAGGTGAGAATCTTTTACCTGAATTATGACAGAGACTCCAAATGGTCTTTCTGAAAATCCGATTTCTCCAAACTACTGTTTATCTTCACAAAGAAACCAACAAAAAATATTCTGTACCATACTTCACTAAAATTGCTTTTAATCTTTTAGGTTAATTATAGACCTCACTGATAATCAAGGAAAGGTACAGACCCTTGCCAAATAAAGTCAACTTTATACATTACTCAGTATTTCCTGGAACTTCTTATTAGGGATTTCTAAAATCTGATCTCCAGCTTGCCTCCTTCTCTGCTATCCCACTGTATTTATTACTCCAAATGTTTTGCGCTTGTGCTTCATTGAACTTTTCATTGTTTCTCATGCTTGGAATATTTTTTAAGCCCCCTTCTCTTTCAAACAGTCTCTTAATAACCTGGGATAGATTCTAAGCTGGAATAAAGATAGATTTTATGACATGGTACTTGCTCAGGCTGTCAAACCTGGTTATTGAAGCTCAGAAGCACTACTTAGCTGACTGCAATCTCAACGTCAACATTGGTAAAATGACAATCATAATATTATTTTGCAGAGTTTTTGGTGAAATTTTTTTTTGTAAAATTTAAAAATGACCAATGTAAAGGGATGTTACTCAATAAATATATATGTCTTACTCAATTCCACATCAATTATAACCTTCTGTGTGAATCCTGACATACCCCTCTCACCTCCACTTCCTACATCCCCATCTCCCACTACAGTAAATGTACTTTTGGGTTTTCTTTTCTGTGTACCTGCAGCACCCAAGGGTGGATACCTTTACACTTGCAGCATTGCTTGGAATTGACATGTTTCTTGCTTGTGTCTCCATCTAGATCAGTAGTTATGATCTCAGCCTGCACATTGAAATAACCCAGGGAGTGCTAAAAAATAAATGGTTGCAATGTTAATCAAGACTTAAGCAGAAAAATTTTTTTTTTGTTTTCTCTAAGTCTAGCTATTGCTTTAGACAACTTCCTACCTACTCATTTATGTGTTTGTTATTTTTTCTTTTTATTATTTGGGTTTCAAAAGCTATATTAGCTAGGTGGTTTTAACTAATAAATCTACTTAAAAAGGTGCCTAAATACTTAGACCTGAAATTAGCCATCTGCTTGCTACTATAAAATGTCTTATTTTGGACTACTGTATATAATCCTGTTTTGCACTCCTTTTGAAATATATATGCAGATTTATATTTAACTTGTGATGTTTATTTTTAGTAAACAACAATAATTGTGTTTAGCCATAAATATATGTATATTATACTGCCTTGAGAAAAAAAAATCAAGGGACTCATGGCATAAAAAGCAATAGCTCTTGTAATTTGTTGAAATTAACTTTTTCCCAGAATAGCTGGAAGTACTATTCAGAATGCTAAATGGAAGCTGATACTTAATAAAATGTTTCCTTTCACGTAGTAAATAGTGTCAGTGCACCATAACTGGTAAAATCAGCTTTCTTATCTAAATGTAAAAGATTTATAAGTTTATTTGTGGTAGGGTTTGATTTCTGGATGGCCTCTAGACACTACGCTGAGTCGTGGGTAAAGGAAGCAGATTCCTATCTTCTCCGATAAAAAGGATCAKGACTTCATTACCTCAGTAGTGGCTTAGAAATTGAAATGTTATCAGCTTAACATAAAGAAAGAAAATGCATTACAAAAATGTCTCTAACTGTTGGGGGATCTTGGTAGTGGAAATGCATTGGCTAGATATTTTTTATTGAGATAAAATATGGTTGGCCCTGGGTCTATATTTAATGCCCATACAATGTTATTTTCTCTTAGGTAATCAGCTCTGATGCGGGATCTACTGTTTCCTTCTGGATGATAGACACTGGGCAGAAAATCAAACAGTTTACTGGTTGCCATGGCAATGCAGAAATCAGCACTATGGCCCTYGATGCAAATGAGACACGGCTTTTGACTGGCAGCACAGATGGTACTGTAAAGGTGCGAACCCAAGGATGCTTTTTCTATCCAGATATGAGAAGGCTAAAATTCTGTGAGAGGAGATGCAGCTACAGATTCACTCGTTTTTGCCTTTTTGGCCCTGCAAGGAGAACCATGGGACAAGATGAGAGCTAAATAACTTAAACTATCTCACAGAAAAGCTGCTAGGAAAATAAACCTCTGTGGAAAAATGAATAAATGACTTTTCTGAATAAATTATTTAGAATAAAGACACAACTTGGCTTGCTTATTTCAGAAAGCCTTTTTCAGTGTACTGGATAAGGGACTACTTTGGGGAATAAGAGACCTGAATAATTTTCACATGCTTCAGCTAATGTCTCTAGGCTTCTTTTTCCTAAGTTTATAAAATAAGAAATTAGGGCAACTTAAGTAAACTTTTAAAAATGGCACAGATGCAGATTTTTTTTCAGAAAATAAATATATAAAGTGATTCTACTTAATAATTTACATTTTTGTTTTATAAAAAAAAAAGGAGAGTAGAAAAGGATAGTAGAAAAARAATCGTCATCTCATTTAGTATCCATCCTAAACTGACACTATCTTATTGCTTACAATTTTCTTATTTGTAACTGCTATTCATTTATTTTGGGAGGAAGGTGATATATTACTTTGCAAAATGATCTTATTTTTGTGCAAAGCTAGATGCTTGCTATGTGAAATCATGCCCATCAGTGACTCTTCTCTGCTTCCTTCAGCACAGAGAATCATGCTGGTGTGAGTGGAAATGGCTTGTCATACTTAGAGGAAACAGAAGGCAGTTTCTTGAATAAATACTGAATGGTCCTCAAACCAGAATAATTGGGGTCAGAAAGATTGTAGACCACCTCCCATGGCAGTCTATGAAAGGGATGCTSTGATAGGTGTGTGGCACATCCAGATAAGCTGTTGGGCAGGGTCACTAGAGCTTGTTGGATATGTAGCTAGAATATCCCGGGAATAGGGGATGAGTACTCATGGGGATTCCAGGCTGGCAACCGTTACTATGAGGGAGTTGCTATGGTGGCTTCAGGGGGAGAATCTCTAGAAAATCAGCAGAACTTGGTTCTGGAAAGGATAAAGGAATAAGCATGAACTAGGAACTTGGGTTTAAGGAAAGACAACAAGATTGCAGGAGATGGTAAGATGTACAATGGTACCAAACAATMCCAATCCCAATAACTTAGGTGAAATAAAACAGAAATAAATGGAACTGGAGTGTTAGGTTGTGGTGTAGGCAAAATGGACTCAGCAATTTCTCATTTTCCAGTCCTGTGGTATGAGATTGAACTCAATAAGGATGCAAGTAGAATAGGTCCCATATAACTTTATCTTGGAAAGTAACTGACTATTGTCTAGGGTAAGGCAGAACTTGTAGATGCAGATAAAATTATCCCAGATAATTAGTAGGACTTGGGACATACAGATCTTTGCAATATTTACTTGTGTGAATTATTTTAGTCATGTTTAGAGAAAAAGAGAATAACATGGGTAAAGAGTAGGTATGCCTCTCAATTCTCTGCAGAAGCCTTGACATCTTAGAGATTAATGTGAATTTAGTAATATAATCACTGCTTTTGAAGGTGCATTTATCTTTATCACCATAGCAAAACAGAGTTCTTAAATCTGGCTATCTCTGCATGGGTCATAAAAATCAGGGTTAAGCTGGTCTGGCCGAATTCTATGAAGAAACAAGAGTCAATGACATTTTCCAATCCCATTTTTAATTTAGAATATAAACTCATACCTATGTAATCAAAGATATAAAATTAATGTCCTATATATCATAGTTTTGAAGGAACTGTTTTTTAAGTTAATTAATATGTTAAGTCATTAATTAAACGTATGTACAATATTTTTTTTTTGAAATATAGAAGAGATGTGTAGTGGAAAGAAAGTCTTTTTTCTCCTTCCTATTCCCAGCTCCTTTCCTGAGGCTACCACTGTTATTGGTTTCTTGTGCATTTTTCTAGCCTATGAGCACTGTTTGTTTCTTAATGATAACCTACAATGCACACTGTTCTGCATTTTTGCATTTTTCTGTCTTGGACACTTGWTAATATAAATGTGTAGAATAATAATGTTAACTGATTTTCACTGTATGCTTACTATGAATGAGGCATGGTTGCAAGCATTTCATAAGCACACACACACAACTTAATTGTTATTGTTATTGACATCTTAGAGGTTAATGTGAATTTAGTAATGTAATCACTGATATATTAGAAATCATTGTTATTATCCAAATTTTACAGATGAAGAAACTAGAGCTCCAAGATATAAAGCAACTTACTCAAGGCACCATAACTGACTGAGTTTTGGAAGAGTCTAGAAGCAAGGAAACAATTCCTTTTTATCCTTCTTTTCTTCCTTCCTTTTTTGATGCTGGGGATGGGCCTTGCACATGAGCTCTACCACTGAGCTATACCCCCAACCTCAATCATCCTTCTTAATGGYTACAATGTATGCCAGTACATAGATATTCCATATTCTGATCATTTACTCACTAATGAGCAATTAGGTTGATTCAAATTTTTAGATTTTGTAAACAATGCTGCAAGACAGGTTTGAAAATATGTCATCCCACACCAATTACTGTATCTGTGGGATGATTTCTTAGAAGTTAAAATTTTTAATTAAAGCATATATGCATTTTAATTTTGAGACATACTGTCAACTTGATCTCTTGCTTAATTGCTAGTACAGAACCCAGGGAAACACTTTATTTTATTAACCTAATATAGAAGAAAAGCTGGTTAAAAAMGATGCAAAAGGCTAGGGATACAAGAAGGGGTATGGAGGATCCATGATACCCACCTCTGAGTTTGTGGTGCTCTGGGCACATCTGCATGCTCAGCTATCTGCCATAGAAACTCCCTGATCCTTGCCCTTGGATTTTTTATTATGTGGGCAGGATCAGTTACATTACAATCTACTGAGTTTTCAGTCCCTCTCCCTAAGAAGTATTTGGGGCTTTGAGTCCAGACCCTCTAATGTTTTTGTCTTTCCTATGACCAGCTTCCAAATGCTATGCAGGGAACCCAATCTCTGGTCATTTTGTTAGCATGCTACAGACACTCCTGTCACTCTGAGATCTCAAAGTTTTTATTTTATTTTATTATTTTTTTTAACCAAAGAAGGTATAGAAGACTATATATCTTATATTGTGATCTGTGTTGGTAGGTCATCACTTTATATAGTCTTAGGGAGGAAGATCTGGGAAGGCCAGAATGAGTGAATATATAATATGATATAGCATATATGAGATAGTATATATTACATAGACATTAGATTTCACAAATAAATATGTATACACACACATATATTTCCCAAGGTCATAAAAGTGATAAATAGAATGGTTAAATCAAATTAGAGGATTTTCTTTAATTATTACATAGCCTTACAACTCTAGTTCAGAATGTGAATATGAAGATTTAAAATAATTCTATTATACTGTGTTGTTTTAGTTATTGAAGATAATTTCATTTCCTGCCTAAAAGGTGGTTTTGATTTTTCTTTGAAGGTATGGGACTTCAATGGCTATTGTCACCACACTCTAAATGTTGGGAAAGATGGAGCTGTGGATATTTCACAGATCCTGGTTCTTAAGAAGACAATACTGATAACAGGCTGGGAAAGGTATGGTATGCTTCGTGCAGCTCCGTAGGAAGGTAGAATGGGAATGTTTATATTTTAATCAAATCTAAAAGGAGAACARCATAGAAATCTTGACTAATTTTAAGTCATTGATGTGATGGTGACCCAGGTGACTGAAATTCATTGGAATTGACTGAGCATTTGGTAAATAAAATATACTAAGTTCATATAGGTTGAGTAGTAATGATTAAGTGTTACAGGGCTTTCTTCTGGCTTCAGGATTTTGACGTTTTCTTTAAAAATTCCAGATATGAATGTAATAGTGCTTCATGAGCTCCAAAAGTTTTCCAAATTTTAAAGTTAATAAATTATTTTTTCCCATAGTTTTTATTGTTGCATTATAATTACACATAATGGGGCTAGGGTGGTAGCTCAGTGGTAGAGCGCTCGCCTATCGTGTGTGAGGCACTGGATTCAATCCTCAGCACCATATAAAAAAGTAATAAATAAAATAAAGGTATTGTGTCCATCTACAACTAAAAAAATTWAAAAAAAATTATACATAATGGTGAGATTTGTTGTCACATAGTCATACATTGCTAAAGTCAATAAATAATGTATGCGTTACATTATTCYAACTGTAAAGGGCACTCCTTCTTCCTTCTCTAGTTACCTGTGTTGAGTTGCAGGGCAGGACAGACTTAGCCCAGAGACTTCTGTGTTGGCCTGGTTCATATCACTGCAGAACAGGGCCTTGCATGGCCCACTTACTCTTCTTGTGGAATATTTCTTCCATTTCATTACAAGGAAAATTACTTTTATTTCCTTTTTTTTTCCCCTGAGAGAACAAAAAGATCATAAACAGGCCTTTTTCTATGCCATTGTATAAGCACTAGGAAAATTAAAGTGTGATATGTTTTGAAAAGATATTGTCCATAAATTCAATAGTTCACAAAATATTGCTCTAACAGGCAATTTGCCCAATGTTATTCATTGTAGAATTATGTTGTTAATGGTCTGAATCTAGGAGTAAGTCAGATTTTATACCTAGAAAACCAGCAGTGTATATTTTTTTCTAGGGCAAATGAGCAAACACTTGAGTAGCAAACATAGTCTCACACATGGCTTCATTTTCAGGGTATTTGGATAATAAGAAAAGAAAGTATAGTACAGATTATTCTACTTGATATTAAGAACTAGTTTAATAATCCTTACCTTTGAAGGACAGGCTTCTACACATCCCTGGGAGCAACCATGATCCATTATCAACCACTCCAACAGTCTATGGCCTAAAGACCTCTGTAATTAGGCCGAGGCAATGAATAAGTTTAATTCTCTAACACCACAGCAGGATATTTGGTGGTATCAAGCTGACCCAATTTAAATTTTGAACATAACAAAAGGACATTTAAAACCCTAATCAGTGTAAATCAAAACTAAGAGATGCTATTTAATTTTTTTTGTTCTTTTAAAGTGTTTTTATTTTATTTTATTTATTTTTTATACCATGCAATTTCCTTGTTACAATGATTTTTTTTTGATACATTGAGAGACCATTTTCTTTATTTTTGTTGCTAGCCATAGTTAGAAATTAGCATCAAATAGCTTTAAAAAATTCATTACAAGGGAAGATTTAAAAGATTATATGAGGTTATCCAGGGTGGTTTAAAGAAAAATCTGGTATTCTGATCCATGTTAATGGGTCATCACTATGGTCTTAGGGAGGAGATTTGGGAAGAAGGGGGAGGAGAATAAAAAAGACTTGTCACTCCTCCATGGTCTTCCAACTTTTCCATCCTCCTTAAGGTTGTCAGCTTTTGGAACCCTTTGTTGGAATTAAAAATTGAATCAATACATTATCACTCTTATTATTTCACTTTTATATTGGTAGACTTAAAAATTTATATTTCCTGAGTCAGAGGTGTTATGTTAGAATGGATTTTGTAGGATCTATGACAGGATCCTTTTTACTAGGAGGCTCTTAACAAAAGAAGCAAGAGGGCAAACACTGTTTGGTTATAGTTGGGGAAATATGGACTATTAATCCAGCTCCTTAACAGTGATTAGCAAAGAAATGACTAGAAGATTGACAGTCAGCTTATTAAGCTTTCTGTAAAGCCCAGGGAGAGCCCGTTAGGTTAAGCTGTAGCTTTAACTTCAGACTCTATCTAAATACAGAGATTGGTTTGATAATTTTGCCCAGGATGGAAAAGAAATTACATTCATTGAGTGAGGAACCTAAARATACCATTTAATTTATTTTTAGTGCCATGAAGCAGTAAGCACTTTATACACATTATCTAATTTAATCCTCATCTTTATTTTAGAAGGTAGGTGATATTCTATAGATACCTTGAATATCTGTCTTCAGCTCTTATTTCTCTAAGCTCCCTTTTTTATTTGCTTGCTGGATGTGTCTGACTGTGGCTTCAAATCCAACATGATCTAAAGTGTCTTTTTTTGTCTTAGATTTGGAGCTTCAGTTAATGAAAAGGGATCTGGACTTGTGCCTTATTCTCCCTTTCAACTTAACCTCATAAACAGTAGTCACTAAGTCTTGCCTATTTTTTTAAATATTTTTTTTTTAGTTGTTGATAGATGTTTATTTTATTTATTTGTATGCGGTGCTGAGAATCCAACCCAGTGCCTCACACATGCCAAGCAAGTGCACTACCTCCGGGCCACAGCTGCAACCCCAAGTCTTACCTATCTTACATACTAAATGTTTCTTTAACTGCTCCCATGAGTACCACAGCTGTACCACTCAAAGCATCATTCCTACTTGGATGGCTTGTACAGCTTTATAAAATTTGTCCTTTCCTCCAGTGACATCCACTCCTCACTCCTTAAGGAGATTCGGTACATTTAGGCAACAATGATTTCTTTTACAATGAATTCTATCTATGCTACTCCCTTGTTTAAAACTTTTCAGAATGTCTACAAAATAAATCTAACCTCTGTCTGGCCTGGACTTATTCTTTATTCTCTAGTTCCATTTTTACACATCCTTGTGTCTATTCTAAACTTCATCAGATAAAAACCTGCGGGTCAGGTTGTTCCCATACAAAGTATCGCATTTCACATCCCTCTGCCTTTATCTCTTCTCCTTATCAAGAAATTCCTCTTCCATTTTTTTTTTTCATATGGCTGACATTTATTCCTATTTCAAGGCGTGTTAAGATACCTTCACCACCAGGATATTCCCTTTAACTTCCAAGATAAAAATATATCCTCTATGTGTCTATTTAACTTAGGGAAAAATATTATTAGATACACAATTTTATTTGTTTTTTATTGGTAAATTATAAATTATACATGATTAAAAAAAAACCCAAATGATTGAGTAGGTTGGTTTTTTTCAAGCAAAGGTTATCAATTCATTTTGTGCATATGAAAAAACACAAAAAATGTTATTTATCAGCTTAGCAAGATCTCAGATGTTTCACTTAGTATATTTTTTCCCCAATAGATATTTAAAAAACTTTATCCTGGTGGAAGACACTGAGTTAGGAACTATAGTATACAGAATATGAAAAATCATGATTCCTGATGTCAAGAGCATCACTTTCTGGAGAATCAACATGTACAAGGCAGGATATGTTAAATGTCATTGTAAAATAGTACTAAGAAAAAATGAATTAGAGCCCATGTTGTTTATTTAGAAATATAGTCATCAGAATTTATATGTCCAAAAAAAAAATCTCAAAATTCAGAACTTCCAAAAATATATTTTCTATTTTTAAAGCAAAAATACTTAGAGAAAAAGTTGTAAATCAATATAGTGTCAATTAAAGATATCTCCTTGAATCCTTGGCCACATTYATGTTGTTAACATTAAATGAAAAGATGATCAATTATCTTTGCATTTGTTTAAAGTAGACATGTAATATGTATACCTATAGTAAAATCAAATAAATATTTTGATTTTTTAAAAAAATTTTAACCTGCTCTAAAATTCAGTGATTTAATACTAACAACTCATTAAAAAATATACTTAGTTTTCTTTCTTTATTTATCTCCTTTGTGTAAAGGAAAAATCTCCATGTTTTCTCCCAGCCTCTCCAAGTTATAATTGAAAATGACATATATTTATGACATACAAGGTTGATGTTTTGATATTTGCATAGATCGTTAAATGATTAATTCAAGATAATTACTATACTCTTCATATTAAATAAATATCATATATTTGTGAGAGAAATCTTTGCTCATAAGTATTTTAAACTCCTTAAAAATTTAGATATATGAAAACACTAAAAAGAGAATTTCTCATGTAACTTAAAATTTAAAATCATTCTGAAAATATTATTGGTAATAACATCCTTCTTAGAGTTCTGTAAATAATAAGTGCTCAGAAAATAGGTATTGATATAGGTATTTATCAAGCCTCTGTCTTGACAATAATCAGACTGCCTATGCAGTTTTCATACATGATGTCAGGAATTAAAGTAGTTCATTACAGGCTTAATTTGATTTTTAAAAGTGTTTTCTAAGGTAAATGACATTAAAGATTTGAAGCTACCTAGGAATAAAATTTAACTTATTCATTACAAGATATTAAATTCTTAATAATTTCCTTACTAAGAAACTATAATCCCATGACTCAATTAATTTCTATTATTAGGCTAAGAATCAGAATGGAAAGTTCCAAAGTTGTAACTTATTCTAAATTAGCCATGCTGGAGCTAAGGAGAGAGAAAGGATGTTTGAAATTCACAAATAATCCTTAAATCAAATTTTGTGATTATTCCAGTGTCCAAAATTTGATTCCACACATTTTAGGAAGAAGAAAATAGGAAAGGAATCCAGATGAATTGATTCATGAGGAATTTATTCTCTGTCCTTTGAAATATTCTTTAAGCCTAAAAAGCTATGTATCAAAAGGTAGCTATTAACAAGACTTATGATAATTGTACTAATAACACATGAACAATTAACCTCCAAAGAAAGAAATAATTGATTGCATTCTTGTGAACTCTTAATTACTACATGGTTAGGATTCAGTCTAAACATTATTTTCAGGGCTAGGAGTATAGCTCGGT